AGAATTTATACAACAAAATGTGATTACCATTTACATTTTTATAAGAATCATCTTTCCAACTAAAACTGTAGTTACTTCATAAATGGTAAATTATAATAAAAAACCAATCATCACTATACCTCTTTGAAGTAAAAAACACATGAAGGGCCTTTTCATAATAGATCTAACTCACACACACGAAATAGAAAATTCTACACAACTAAAGCATCAGAGAGTTTGTTACCATTGGTAAAGTGGTGGCACACAGTGATGATAAACTACATAGGAATTAATGGAATTAGTTTCTTTGGAATTTACTACCCTGTGGAGTTGGATTCTTTAAAAATTGGAGGATGAAAGGACATCAAGAGAAAAGCAATCAGATCCAGAAAGGTGGGGGAACTACATAAAGAGGAAATTGTCAAAGTTAATAAGACCTCTGAACTAGGATTCAGGAGATCTGGGTTCTAAGTCTCTATTCTATCACTAACTAATGTGACTTTGGGAAAGCCATTTATTTAACCTGTGAGGGTTACATGTTGCCTAGTCTGTAAGATGGAAACAATCACATAAGCCCACCTATCTCACAGAGACATTGAGGCTGAAATGAGAAAGAACACAAAAATGTTAAGAAAAAAGGCATAAAGCAACTTACAAAGGTAATAATTACTTTCTGCCTTTCTTTGTGTCCCCAGCACTCAGCACAGTGCTTGGCACAAAGTAGGAAATTAATAAATGCTAGTTGACTGACTGAATCTTACTTGACTATTAGAGTAAATATGGGTAGCTGAAAAGCTTTTGGAAAAATAACATTCTTCAGGTCCAAAGTGATTATTAGAACACAAATGTGCAGCTAACATTCCAAAATAAATCAATAGTACCAATGAACTGAAAGGCTTTTAAAACAACCTACCCTAAGGTCAGCCTCTCAGGGGTCAGCTTTTTCCATTAGCCTCAATCATAACACTGATACCTAAAGCCACATAAGATGCAAAGCTTCTTGGCTTTCAACACTAACACTGCTTTTGCCTGGTGTAAAAGAAACACATCATACCGTACAGTCAGACCTTAGTGGATCGTTTCTTTTAAAAGCATATTTACTTCTAATTTGAAGTTAGCTTGCCCATTAACTTCAACACCTGGGTTGAAACCAAAGTGACAACAATGAAATAAAAGGAAAAATCTTTCAGGCCACCACGTTTCTTTCTATTCTCAAAATGACAGCTTGTGTGTACCAGCAGTACTCTTGCTATGTCAACTATTACTGCAGTTGAAACACATAACAGAAAATAGATAAAGAAAGAGAATAAATACAAGTGGCAAAACAAATTCAAAAAGAGACTGAAAGTTCATAGGAAGGAGTAAGATAATGTGAAAATTCTCAACATGAATTTTAACAAAAATTAAACACACTGGTAATAGCAGAGAGGGAGTGGAATAGGTGCGAAATCATCACCAAACATTTATTGAATGACTATTATATACAATGGGGCTTGAGCTGCATACTAGTAACACAAAATTGAGTCCTTGCCCTGATAAATCACAAAACAATGTTTTAAACAAGAGCAAGCACATCAATTGACACAAAAAAAATTACAATACTTTTATTTTAAAGTAAAAATTTTTATCTTATCTCTATTTTTTATATTATGGATTTTAAAAAATGCACTGTGTCAAGTGATATAGGTTGGTCTTTCTAGGAATTCTTAAACGCTATTTCTTCTATAGTTCAATGTTGATCATATAGCAGACACTTAATAAGTATTTATTGATGGACTGATTGAGTACCAGAAGAATAGTAGAAAGGATAAGAAGTAGAAAAGTTAAAAGGAAGGAGGGATCCAAGAAGTGGACAAAGGATATGAAAAGTACTCAAAAGAACTGCAAACTAATAACCATCATATGAAAAAATACTCCAAATCACTAGTAATAAGAAATTCACATAGAAATAACCCCAAGGTTTTACCTTACACCATGCAAATTGCAAAGATGAGAAAAGATGGTAATAATCAATGTTGCATGCGGGGAGAGACACGAACACCACTGCATTATTGTTGGAGCTGTGAATTAGTTGTGGTTTTTTAAGCATTTTGGAAATCAACTTGTAATTGTGGAAATAACCCTTTGCCCTAGAGACTCCCCTACTAGGCATGCACTCCAAGGAGGTCACTGACAAAAAAGAAAGGCTCCATACACAACAAAACATCTATAGCAGCACTTTTTGTGGTAGCAAAAAAAAGTGGAAATAAAGTAGATGCCCACGGATTGAGGAATGGCAAAACAAATTATAGTACATAAATATAATGGAATGATGTTGTGTTATAAGAAAGGAAGAGTATGAGCAATACAGAGATGCATGGAAAGACTTAAATGAAGTGATCAAAGTAAATTAAGTAAAGCCAGGAAAACAATATATTCAATGATACAGCTATAATATTAACTTACTAGTGAGAGAATGAGTTTTCTTTCCTGAAACATTAATTCACTTCTTCTGTCTACTCTCTACTTGATTTTATCGTTATGCATCTTTTGTTTCTTGGATTTTTCTAGACCACTGACCTCTTTGACTTCTCAAAACTTTTCAATGTGCAAATATTTTTTTTAAAAAAATTAAAACAAATAAAAAGAAAATTCCTCACCCTAATATCCATGCTATCATTTAGTCATACTAACAAGAAAACACACATTTAATTTCTTAGTCTTTCATTGCTGATGAAAGTATCTACCATTCTTCAATTTGGCAAATTTGCATACTGAATAATCATCAGATTCTTCTGAAGAAATGATTCAAATTCTTCTCTTTATTGAACATCCAATTATTTTCTTTAATGCTTAACCTCATGTTTTGAGGATTTATCATTTCCAAGTACCAACCAATCATTCCTCTTTGAAATGTCATAACATATTTTTCCTTTGCTATATTATAAACACAGAATAATCTTATGATAATCACAATCTAATTGACTTTCCTTGAAATATGGAAGGGTTTTTTTAATCTTGTGGGCTGCAAAATTTGTATATCAATGCATAGTTCTAAAGTTTGATCAGGATATGTATTGGTGAGTTAGACTTGAGTTTCCTCTTGTTGTTCTGTAGATTTCCTTCGTTTCTATTTTGCCACCAGCTTCCAATATGTCTTGGCACAATTTCTTGTACAATTTCTTGAAGTACAATATTCACATTTTCTTTTGTTATGATTTTGGAAGACCCATAATTCTTAAATTTCTTCTTGATAGTCTATCTTCAATTTCATTATTCTTGGTTTGGAAGAGTCTCGTACATTCTATCTTTATAGTCTATCTTCAATTTCATTATTCTTGGTTTGGAAGAGTCTCGTACATTCTATCTTTTTAAATTTGTTCTATTCATTTTCCTTCTATTCCTGTATTTTTGCATTATACTTCTGTTATTCTATTTCTGATAATCTACTGTTATGGAGCAGGTATCCAAATTTTCTTCTAAATTCTGTAATCTCTAATTACATTTATTGAATTCTTCCTTAGGAGCTCTAGTTTTGGTCCTCATTTAGCTAGTACTATTATTTATTCACAAGATCATAAATCTAAAGTTGGAAGGACCGCTAGAGTCCATCAAATCTAATGCTCTTATTTTATATATGGGGAAACTGAGGCCCAAAGAGACTAAGCAACTTGTTGAAGTTCACAGAAGTAATAAATGATGAAACTGAGATTTGACCCATGTCCTCTGATTCCAAATTCAGTATCCTTTCCATGGTATCACACTGACTCCTCCTTTGCTAAGAAGTATTTGTTCACAGCCATTTGAGACGGCTCATTTCTTCAAATGTTTCATTTATTTCTCTTCCTCAGTTAGTGTGCAGCTATCACTATCAATCATTTTGATGACTTTTCTGTGGTGTAGTTACTACAAATTTATGTCTTACCACTACTCCTTTCCCTTCTGTAGGCCCACTGTTGTTATGCCTTTTCCCAAGACATTACTGTTCATTCTTTGTGTTTCCTTGGACCAGTGGGGTTGGATAAGATCTATAGTTCTAAAGGAATGAGAAGGACTAGGGACCTTCGCAAAGCTGAAATAGAGAAACGTGACCAAAATAACCATAGAAGTAATAAGCAAAACTAAAAAGCTGTTGGTTTTTTTAAACATAGAAAATCGATTTTAAAATGCTAGCTAACTTTATCAAAAATAAGAAAGAAAAAAAGTAAAAATTAATAGCTTTACAACAGAGCCATAATAAAGAGAATTATAAGAAATGATTATAAAAATTATGTAACTGAGAATTCAAGTAGTTGGGCCTATTGTCCCCCCTTCTCAGTCATTCTTCTGAATTCAATCCCCCTAACTGAAAGAGAAGTGAAATAAACAATGGACTGAGAGGGCACCAGCATCAAAGGAAGGCTTTTTTAAGCACAGGAAAGATATGATTGTCTTTGTAGTCAGGAGTGAGGGAATTTAGGGGAAAAAAAGGAAAATATTGAATATAAGAGATTAGGTACTCTCTGCTGTGTAACACTATGCAAATCATCTAAATTCTATCCCTTCGTTTCCATCCACACTACCTAGAAAATTAACAATTTTTTCAGAGCATGCAAACAAAAGCTTGTCATAATCATGTTCATTCTTTCAGTTTCCTAAATATAAACTTAAAATTTTTCTCATGCCTAAAGCTTTCATCCTCACAAAAGTATTACCCAATTAAGAATTAAGACAAACAAGAAATTCATAGAATATACCTCTGCAAGATCAATGGAATTAAATATTGAATTTAAAGGAAATAATACATAAAAGCAACAAAATCAAAAGGAAAGGTCTGACTTTCATAATTGAAATCAATTTAACAAAAAATATATATAGAGAAAGGACATGACAGGAATAGTGCTAGAGTACCTAATTTAATGATGCTAGAGTGCTAGTTTATTCAATTTATAAATTCCTCAATAAGTACAAGTGATGAACAATTTGAATAGGTGCATTCTTGATAGTATCAGTAAACGGTCTTTGGATTGCTTTAGACAAGACTTATCAGAACTACAACATACCGTGAAACTATTGTTGACGTTTTTTGTGCTTGATTCAGCTACACTGGCATCCGAGAGGTCGACTTCATCAAATATTAGAGACTAAATGAAAAAGAACACAAACACATTACATACAAATCTGAAAAGAGATATCATTAGCTACCTTTGTGTTACAATATCATTCTTATAACTGCTACTTAAGGAATGAAGGAGGAAGATGTAGGAAAAGTTGCTTTGCAGATACGATTCAGTAATTTCTCTTTTGAAAGAGTTCCTAAAAATAAAACCATCAGGGAGTAACCCACAAAGTGGGATCCGCAAACATAAAATGCTTTAAAAAAAAAAAAACCTCATCTCTAGACTCTATTTTGGAATGCAAATGACTTTAGTTATTTGGATGTTTTAACAGAATTTTAATAGAGTTCATTGACATGCATATTCCCTCCAACAGTATAAACTCATGCCTTCCTACAATTTTTTTTAAAAAAGAGAAGAAAATCAAATTACAAAAATAAAAATTACAGCTTTACAACAGATACAAAATAAAGAGAATTATCAAAAACTATTATAAGTAATTATATGACAGTGAAACTGAGAATTCACTAGTTGGGCCTATCAGGCAACAAACCTTCTTTATGTAAACCTTGTATATCCTCCATCTGGCTATGGGAAAAATAAAAGATTCTGAGCTTGAAGAAATCCACTATTCTTTCATGCAATCCTAATGGCATAGAAAGCTAAATTGTATATACTTACAGTCTATCTTTTCAATACTAATGTTTTATTGCTGTTGCCATATGTCAAGGAAATGGAACACCACTCTCTCTGAAGAACTAAAGATGAATATCAGAAAGCAAATAAGAGAGAGGTACATGATAGGTGTGAGCTTCTGCAACATAAAACCAACAAGAAACTACAAGGAAAACGGAGGTGGGGAATGGGGGGGATGGGGGGCAGGATAAAGGATGTCATCAAGGAATTATAAAACAGGGAGAAAAGATGGGCTGGTCATATGACAAGAGTGAAGGTTGAGAAGTAGATAGCCAGAATGCTCCACTAGTACCATTTGGATGTGATGAGGAAGCAAGGAATGTTTCCAGTAACCTGAGTGGCCATCTTTAGGGAATAAATGTGCAAGAATTGCACAGGATGGACAGGTATGGATGTAGTTGCAATCTACATCTTTGGAGGGAAGCCTCAAATCAACAAGATCAGAGATCTTTTGGAGTATATGTTTAAATATTAATTTAAACAAAATGTTTCAATGGTTAAAAATAGAAATGAAATTTTCAATACTAAAAATGAAACAGAAAAATCCAACAAATAATAGGTGACATTATTACAGCACTTTAAGGGTTGCAAATCACTTTATAAATATTATTTCATTTGATCTTCACAACAACCCTGTAAGATAGGTGCTATCAATATCCCTATTTTAAGAAGGAAGAAACTGAGGATGAAAGAAACTAAGTAACTTGTGTGGGGTCGCACAGATAGCAAACATTTGAGATGACATTCAAATTCATGTCTTCCTGACTCCAAGTCTAGTGTTCTGTCTAACTTTGCCTATCTTCTCTCATCCATTCCCACTCTCTATACAGTAAAATTCTTACAGAATCATAGGATTTTTGAGTTAAAAGGGACAGTAGAGGCCCTCCAGTCCAGCTAATTAGCTAATAAATGAACACTATCTATACTATCCCTAAAAAGTAATCACTCAATGTCTACATGAACAAGAAACTACCTTATGAGCCAATTCAATCCATTTTTGGTCAATTCTAATTATAAAATATTTCCTTATTTCGAATTGAAATCTTCCTCCTGATAATGTCCACTTAATGGCATGTTACCTTGAATAATTCTAGGGAGTTGTTACTCAGAATAACTATTATTCTTATTTCAAATATTTGAAAATAAATGTGTGCCTTCCCCAAGCTACTCTTAATATACGATCACAGTTTTAGAGTTGACAGTACTTCTAGAGGTCACCTAATCCAACCCCCTCATTTTACAAATGAGGAAACCATGATGGAGAGAGATGGGATGATTTGTCTAAGATCTCACAGGTAGTAAATGGAAGAACCTGCATTTGAACCTAAGTCTGCTGATTCCAGACCCAGGGTCCTTTCTACTAACTACAGTTACATAATTTTATTTATCTAGGGCTCAATCCCTCGACCCCAAGACTGAGCCCAACTGAGATAGATTCAACAGATCTCTTTATGGCATTGTTGGTTGTTTGTAACCATTTCAGATCACTTTCCCTGGATCTTCTCCAGCGGGGAAGTCAGTGTCCCTCTTAAAATATGACAGCTACAACTAAACACAGTACTCCAGGTAAGAGACAACCAGTCTCAAGTACAAGAAGAATTTCACCTCCTAAATGCAAACATATCCTTCCATTAATGCATCCAAATACCATGTTTACTTTTTTGCTCACAATTTCCCTCATGATGCCTCAATTTGCAAAACGAGATGCTACATTCTCTGGATAGATAGAGAACAGAAAACTCTCCTTCCAGCAATCCTTTCCCATGGGAAAAGACAAAACTTTTCTCCGGGGGAACCTGAGGTCTGATAATGTTTCAGTGAAAACAAATTCAACTTATTTTCATAAAGTTTTCAACAACAATTAATCACATGGCCACCTAGTTTTCATTTAATCTCTTATTCCCTGAGATAAATGAAATCTCACAATATTTTTTCCCAGAGGTTACTTTTAATCATTACCAGTTTGGGATATCAATTACAAGTGTTTAATAGAAAGTTATCCCTTCCTTTACCAAGTCATACTCCAAAAAATTATTGTGATATGGAGACAATATTTTGTTCTCAAAAGCTATGCCAGTAGAGCATAAGTGCAGACAAGTCCTACCAAGAAGGAAAAGCTTTAGGAATGGTCCCAGAAAGAGATTAAGTTTGTTTTCAGACAGCCTGTCTAATCATGTACAGAGAAACTCTTAAATTTTTCAAACCTAGTGATGAATTATTTGAATACAGCAAGCAATAAAACAAAGAAAAATATAAAACTGCCCTCATTCGTACACAGCCCATTTCTACTCCTGTGACGATAATAGCAGAGCAGCAGAAATTACAACATAGGGTGTTAAGAGTAACACAATACAGTTTTCAAATCTATAAACATTAACTTAGTTGTTGGTACTTCAAATGTGATATCCCTGTACAGTGACGAATAAAGAGACAAATTTAAAAAATAAACTGAGTCATGTCAATATTGACATTTTTACTAAAAATGAAATCAGAAGACAAGAAGAAGTTGCAATTAAATGGAAAGATTATCTTTTTTTTTCCTCTGAGAAAGGCAAATAAAGAAGTTAGCAGAAGTGGTTTTATCATGTGTTCAAAGGCAACAAGAAACATTTTATATGTATTTTATTTATTTATTTTAGACATCTTGGTCATCTTATACTGCAGTGTTAAAGATAAATATTTACCCAAAAAGGCAAGGGCAAAAACACAATTTCCCTGAAAATAATTGCAGCTTACTTGCTCCTACCTGTTGCAGAGACTGAAGAGGTAAAGAGGTAAAAAAAATTCTATGGAGGATTCAACCCAGCAAACTAAATCATAATACACTTTAATGCTTGGTTACATCAGTGGACAGGTAGGCACAGAGAAGAGTAAAGTCGTTATTAGAAAATATGGTTTAGGTGCAATAAATGAGTAAGGTTAAGGAATGTAAACTATACAGAAGTCTCATGTCTATACATCATGATTACTTTCTTTGAGAAGAGAACTGGGAAGCACAGGGTAAGGCAAGAATCAGAAATACCAACAAATTAAATTAATTATAGTTTCATAGAGACAAAATGGCTGGTTACCAAAGGTCTAGTCATTTCAGAATCAGCAGTCTTTGGAGAGTCAGACTGCCAACTTGGCAGAGATAAAAATTGAATTCAATACAAAATTAGAAAATAATTTTTAAAAAGGCATGATGCACAACTGAGGCACCTCCAATCTATTAAAGGAAGTTATTGAGAAATGGGAGACTGATTAAAAATAAAGACATTGACATACACTAACACAATTTCCTAGGGAAATTTAAATGATGTAAAGCAATTGTAACAAAAAGACCTACACACTACCTGAGGCAGAAAACACTTGATGTTCTTGGTGAGCAGAGGGATGGCCCCAGGGACTGCACTGCTTTAGAATAACAACCCCTCTGTAAGACATGACTACAGAAGAGAGGATCATGGAAGATTATGCGTAACATTGCCTCATGAGACAATCAGGTACAGTAGAGGGAAAAGCAAGGTTACTGAAAGCTTGGCAATACACCCAACTAAGCCAAATCGTCCTCAGGTTATTTGAAGATGAAATAACTTATTTTGCAACATGATTAATATGCAAATATGCTTTGCATGACTACACATACACAACCTATATCAAATTGCTCACCATCTTAGAGAAGGAGGAGGTAAGGGAGAGAGGGAGAAAATTTGGAACTCAAAATCTTATAAAAAATGAATGTTAAAAATTGTCTTTACATTTAATTGGAAAAAATAAAATACTATTAAAGAAAAAAATAAAGATGAAACAAAGGAGGACAATGAAGAGAAAAGAAACACTGAATATCTGTCAAGATTCCCACATATCTGATTTTGTCAGGAAAAGCACTCCCTTCACCAACAAAGATCATAACCCCTCTATATCTTAGAGTTTTGCATAGTAGTCTAAGGCTCTTAGAATTTCAATGGTTTGCCCTAGGAAACAGAGCCAGCAAATGCATGAGTGGGGCTGGGAGTTAGGTCCAAGCCCAGCAATAAGATTTCTATAACAAACTCTTTCTCCTTCAGTGAAAAAAGGAGTCACTAGAGTTTGGATTTTTCATATCAAAGTTCCTAATGTGCCATATGAGGAAATAGGGACAACACTAAAGAAAATGACAGGAAAAACAGCTACAATAGACCGCATGTATACAGAGAAGATCCATGCGAGAGGCTATGGAATTTTAAGGGCACTGAGGAATAGATTCTGAAGATATCTGGAAGAAGGAAGGCTAGCAAAGGCTTGGGGGAAAAAAACCTAAGTTTTATTTTTCCTGAAAAAGTCAAGCAAGAAAAATTTAATAACCACTAATTCATATGCTTACTTTCTTACCTTTACAAAATCTTTATAAGAATAATGTACTCACATATCAAGGACATCTTTGATAAAGGTATGAGAAAGGAGCAGTCACGTTTTGCAAATGATATTCAAAAAGCAGAATGAATCTTTACATCAATACAATTGACTAAAAGGTGGAAAGAATACAAGATTCCACTGTGTCTATTGTTTGTGGTACACACATATAAATAGATATAGGTAGACAGAGGAGAGAGAGAGAGAGAGAGAGAGAGAGAGAGAGAGAGAGAGAGAGAGAGAGAGAGAGAAGGAGGAGAGAGACATACACACATATATATAGAAAGACATATAGACATGGAAACAAATGACATAGATATCCATACATATGCTTGCCAAAGTTGTTTGCTACTGTCACAGAATTTGTATGGCACAGAGCCCAGATAGAAGGGGATTCTCTCTAAGCTGCTGATGAAACAAAGGAGGACAATGAAGAGGAAAGAAACACTGAATATCTATCAAGATTCCCATATATCTGATTTTGTCAGGATGATATTGTGCTGTTTGTATCTACCTAGCCCACAGAGCTTCTTGAATGAGACACATAAGAACTCAAGAAAGTAGATGAAGAGGACCTACTCTCCACACTGTGATATGCAATAGGATGGATATCCCATAGAATTGCCCTCTTGGAAGATACTTGTGAAAAGAGAATGAGTGTGGGCCCATTACTGAGGAGGAGAAAGGGGGCAAACCAGATTGCCCTTGTGAAACTGTGCATGGTTTTAAATGATTCTAAGCTTCTCCCTGAAACAAATCTCCATTTTTTAAACATCAATATTCTTCTGGTGACACTTCCATGGTATATTTCACTCTTTGAAGAATTTAAGCATGTGGTCACACAAAGAGAAAGAAAAAGATGCACAACTACAACATATTAGAATGTGGAATTATACAAAAGCAGCATAAAGGATATGTATGTATGTGTATAGATAATAGATATGGCAACTATGTAGCATGAACTGATTGACATCATTCTCAATTGCTAGCCATCAATTGTCAAGAGATCTAGAGAAAGATTATAGGACCATGGGGAGCTTCCCTCTCAAAAATTTATGGGAAGATTTGGTTGAGAGTTATATTATATGTATAGATAGTGATCTGCTCCATCTATGTTGCTGAGGTCACGGATCAATCAAAATATTTAAGTATCTGACATTTTTCCTTCTGCTTCTGAACGGCATTACCAATTGTATCAACAGCATGAATAGCCATACTAATTATTAACTGCTAGTACCCAGAGACTTTTCACACTGCATAATGAGGAGTGGTACCAGAACACTAGTTTTACATACCTATTTGACCATTGAACAGAAGATTAAATCTAATTAGATTCATTGAAGTACTTTCTAGTGAAGAGTTTTAACTCAATTTAAGGCTAAAGTTTGACTTCCCCATCATCAGACTATGTCTATTTGTGATTCATAAAATTTAAAGAATAAGACAATTAGAAAAGAATTAAAACAGACAAAAACCTCAAGTTTGTTTTCATATCGTAAGTTAATCTTTGTTTTACACAGAAATAAAGTTAAGCACTAATTTAGTCTATATAATAAAAATGGAATTACATTGAATGCTTATTATAAAACTATCCTTACGGTACATGTTTACAGGACTACTTGTTTGGCAGAAAATGACGTCTTGGCAAGATCATTTTTGCATTCTGATTGCGAACTTCATACCATTACCCCTTGGACGGGGCAGAATTGGGAAGAAGGAATACTAACTGAATTTATTCTTAACTCACTCCAAAGAAAATAGTGTAATAATAAGTTTCTAGAGGAAAAAAATTAAACTTGACTTCACAAACAATGATAGTTATTTTACAGAGATTTGCCACTACCTTCCTCACTTCTTACCTTTGAGTCCTTGGCATAGTAGAGAGTGCGACCTCGAAGTTTGAAATAACGTTTTTTCCACCTTTGAAAGGAGCTGGTCTGCTTCAAGAGTAATCCTTCCTTAATACTGGTCTGGGAAGGTAAACAAAATAATAAAATTGAAATGTTGAATACCACCAAATGAGCATTTTATCCAATAAAACATATCATTCCTTCTTAAAAGGTTCATTTCTATAGTGTTGCTGAAAACATTTTTAGTGTGCTTTACTCTATTAGTCATAGCTACTTCAGGGTAGACACATATATAGTACACACACACACACACACACATATATATATATATACATATATATACTTATTATATACGTATATTGTGTCTTCCTTAATAAGAGGGTAAGCTCCTTTAGGTCAGATTGTGTTCTATTCTTTTTTTCCCTTTGGATCTTTGGCTCCTATCTGGTGCACAGTAGGTACTTAACAAATGCTTGTTGGTTGACTGATTGATTGATTGATTGTCTTAAGTCACTCAACTATAAAGTTATCAGAACCTGCCTTCAAACCCAGGATTCTTACTGATACCAAATCTGGATGAACAACATACAGTTAGTTGAATTCACAATCCTATCCAAAAAAATTAGTAAATTAGTAGATTTAGCACTAGAAGGGACATTAGAAGCCATCTAGTTCAACTTCATCATTTTACAGATGAGGAAATTAAGCCGTAGAGAGGGTAAAGGACTTGTCAAGGTCATACGATTCAAAGTTAGGATTCAAACACACAGATACTCTCTCACTCCAGATCCAGAGTTCCTTCCACCGCAACACCTTCTGAAGTGAGGTCTCCAAGAGTGTGTGTGTGTGTGTGTGTGTGTGTGTGTGTGTGTGTGTGTGTGTGTATCGCTATATCCTGGTTTAATATTTTTATCAATGAATTCATAGGATCCTGAGAGCTGAAAGAACCTTAAAGATTACTGAGACTTACAATCATATTTTTGGTTTTCTAATTTAGTATTTTATTTTTTTCACCAATTACATGTAAAAACAATTTTTAACATTCTTTTTTTAAAATTTTTGAGTTCCATATTCTCTCCCTCTCCTCATTAAGGTAAGCAATTTTATATAAGTTATACATATGCAATCATGCAAAATGTATTTCTACATTAGTTGCGTTGTGAAAGAAAAAACAGACCCAAAAAAAACCAACAAAAAGAAAAATAAAGAAAAACCATACTTCAATTGGCATTCATACTCCATCACTTCTTTCTCTGGAGATGGATAGCATAAAACCTTCATTTTACAGATGAGGAAACAGAGGTCAGAGTAGTTAAGTATCTTGCTGAAGTCACACAGGTAGAAAACAGCAATTAGAATTTAAATCCAGGTCATTAGCAGACCACGGTGTGCTAATACTGTCTCACCCAATTTGGTGCTAATATTCTATGACAATAATGTGGATAAGGTCAGAAAGGGTGTGTTGCTCAAATTGTAAGATGACAAAGTTGGGAGACAAAGGAAGCAATGTTGAAGCAGGATTCAAAAAGACGTCGATAGGCTAGAAAGTGAGCCAAAACTATTAAGATGAAATGGAATACAGACAAATATAAAATCCTACAGTTAGCTTAAAAACTCAAATGTAAAGTTACAGAGTAAGGGAAATGTGGTATGGATATAATTTGACTGAAAAGGACCTGAAGGCCTGAAGTGACCAGCTCATTGTGCTATGTAAGCATAAGAGATAATGAATCAACCATATAAAGTAATGGCTAAAAATGCTAATGTTATCTTAGATCACATTAATAGAAGTGTAGTAACCATCTAGATAAAGGCAACAATTTGATTCTAACCATATGCATTATACTAGAGAGAACTACAACGGAAAACTTATATGGGGGGGTGTCTATGCAGAGTCTACTCATTTTAAATTTTGCCATAGTAGGATATGATCTATATTGTGATCCAAGCCTGATTTTGCTTTCTATAAACTGGTGTCAATTTACATGTGAGGATTTTTTAACATAAGAAAACAATCCCGGGGCGAGAGTTCCTTCACTCAAGGATCTCCCAGGCCATGCATCTCTCCTAGATTAGTCAAAGCACAGGCCCAAATATCTCCCCAGTTATGTATTTACATCATTTGTGCCCTTATATTCTAACATTTTTCTATGCTGATTCCAAAGAATCAATCAGTCAAGTATTTATTATCGGCGTCAAGCTGAGCTCAGCTCTAAGGAAATAAGAATAAAGAATCAAACAATCCCTACCAGGAAAGAATCAAAGTCACAGCCCACATAAGTTGCTGCCTGAGAATGCTTCTTTCACCCAACACAGGTATGATGTGGATTCCAGTGAATCTGTGATTACAAATGAGGGTCCCTTTCCCTTCAAAAGCACTAGATGACACATTGTTACAAATTTAACAAAGAAAAAGGGATTTTTTAATGATTAAAAATGTAAGAGTTTGAAACTTTGAAGAACAACATTTTCTTCAGTTCATGTGCAATTCTATAAAAATACGCTAAATATTCTAAAACATGAAAATATAAGCTGATGTGAAATCAGAAATGGGTATCTCACAATTAACTTACAAGTTATCTGTCATTTTACTGTACTCTTTGCAAGATTTTGTGGGGAAAAAAGCAGTTGGCAACAAATCCAGAGACCTGGGTTCCACTAAACTCTACCACTAATTGCATAATTTTGGGTAAGCCACTTAATCTATCGGGCCTCAATATCCTCATCTGTAAAACAAGGAGAATGGGATGAATAATCCCTAAAGGCCCTTCCAGATTAAAAAAACAAAACAAAACAAAACAAAAAACAAACCTATGATTCTAGGAATTTGTAATCAATGTGAATATTGATTTTCATTTCAAATTGGAGGTGCACTTATATAAGGAGGAAAAATGCCCCCAACACATAATGAAGTAATACTTTAGAAGGCTAAAAAATTAATAATACTTTTAAAAGTAAAATAACTTACAGTAAAAATATTGCTGATGAACTTCAAGACAAGTTACACAAAATTAAAGCAAAGTCAGTGTGGCAGGTGGGGAGACAGTATTTTTATTATTTGATTGCTAAAGTGTCCAAAAAGATAACAACTTAAAGAAACAGAATATAAATAAACTGAAAAAATCACTTCATTTTTATCAAACCTTTCCATAATGAGTAACCATTCTATAGAAAAAGATTGTATAGTCCTCTTTGGTTACTTGATTTTGTTTTCCCACATACTGAAAACCACATTTTTAAATTTAGATGATTGAACAAGAGAGAGACATAGACAGAGACGTAGAGAGAGAGATACACAGAAATACCAAATCAAAGAATCAAACAAGTTTTGACCTAAAGAACCTATTCTGAAGTGAGAAGAACCAAGAGAACATTGTACACAGTAACACCAACATTGTGCAATGACCATCTTTGATAGACTTAGCTCTTCTCAGCAATACAATGATCCAAGACAATTCCAAAACACCTATGATGGAAAATGCTATCCACATCCAGAGAAAGAACTATGCAGTCTGAATGCAGATTGAAGCATACTATTTTTCCTTTTTTCTTTCTTTCTCATGGTTTTCCCCTTTTGTTCTGATTCTTCTTTCGCAACATGACCAATGTGGGAATTTGTTTAATATGATTGTACATGTAAAGCCAATATCAGACTACTGTATGCAAACTTGGGGAGGGAATAAGAGAAGCAGAGAGGGGGATTTAGAACTCAAAATTTCATTAAAGTGAATGTTGAAAACTAAAAATAAATATTTTTTAAACCTATTATGAAACAAACAAAAAAGATCATAGAATTGGATATTTCAAGGTAGAAGGTACCTTAGCCATTGTTTTGTTAAGCCTTCCATTTTACAGAGAGAAACTGACTCCTGGAAGTGACTTGTCCAAAGTCATATAAGGAGTAAGTGTCAGAGCTGTGATTTTAAGCCAGATCTTCTGAAGGCAGCATGGCATAGTAGATAGGGTCCTGGACTTCAAGTTAGGAGGACCTGGGTCTACTGCTTATTATCTGAATGACCCTGAGCAAGTCATTTAACCTTTCTGGACCTGAATTTACTCATCTGTAAAATGAAGTGAGTTAGACTCTACAGCCCCTAACAGGGTCCCTTCCAGCTCTAAGTCAAGAATCCTATGAGTCTTATCTATTACACCACATATGTCATTAAGGGAGGTTGGATGTTTTTATGAGTATTCTAGTAATACACAATAAAATTTCCCCCCATTTCACTTGTGATGAGAAATACCTGTACTCACTGGTTAAATTGTATGATAAAAGGTTATTTTTCAATCAAAAAAATTAACAAATCAATGACACTCAAAATAAAGGACAGAGACACAAATAATCCTGAGAAGAAAAGGAAGTAAGGGTATCTAAATAATATAGTCCTTTTCCTCAGAGTCATTTTTCCTGGTTTTTAAGTTCTGATGTTCATTGTGAGGAACAAAAGGGGAAAGAGAAAGAATGGTATTTGTGGGAAAAACATCTTTTATTGACACTGATCCTCCAAAAGATAAATACTACAAAGTGATGACTTAATGCACTTTAATATCTGAGAAAAAAAGCAAAAAAGTTTTTTGTTTTGTAATTTAAGAAAATAATTAAGAATACCCATTTTAACTAAAGGGGAAAGTAGGTGGTACCGTGGAGAGGATGTTGCATCTAGAGTCAGAAAGACTTGAGTGCAAATCCTGCCTCAGACACTTATTAGCCACGTGGCCCAGGGCAAGTCAATTAACCCTGTTTGCCTCAGTTTCCTCATCTGTAAAATGAGCTGGAGAAGGAAATGGCAAGCCACTCCAATATCTTTGCCAAGAAATCCCAAACAGGGTAACAAAGAGTCGGACATGACTGAAACAACACAACAACAATAATAACATTTAAGCTAAAATACCATACTAACAATAATAGTGCACTGGATTTGTATATTCTGTTTTTTAACAAAACAAATATGAGATGTTCAATATTAGCATCTCTTGAAAACAAATGAGATATTTGGAAATTTTAATGATAGTTTATTGCAGTATTTGGATAAGCCCAATAATTGCAAGGTATTTTACACACACACACACACACACACACACACACACACACACACATATGTATATATATACACACATAT